GCATTCTCAGCACCCAGAAATACACAACAGTTTCATTAGGAGCCTTGCATTTCTAACAATTTTTAAAATCATATATGGTTGACCAAGCGTGAGGTTCAACCTTTTAGGGTAGAGATTGCATCATAGCAAGAAACTGTCAATCAGATGAGACAACTTAAATTATATACAGATTTGAGACTTCATCATATTTGTGGTATATGTCATGACCATATCATGGCCTTTGATGTTTAACCACATTGCAAATTCCCATTCCCTCCGCAGTGCACATTTCTTCATTGGTTTCATCGCAGAGATATCGACCAAAATAAAATCAATGTCTCTTCAGGAAATGGAGACAGTAAGGACCGCAAATGCTGGAATCTAGCCCCCAACACCTCATCTTCATCATGGACGTTCAGTCTCTGTACACCTGTACTCCCCACATGGATGGTCTAAAAGGCCTGTTTCTTCCTCTCCCATAGGCCAAACCAATCCCCCTCCACAGATACACTCATTCACTTGGCAGAACTGGTCTTCACCATTAACAATTTTTCCTTTGATTCCTCCCACTTCCTTTAGACCAAAAGGGTGGCTATGGGCACCTGCATGGGCCCCGGGCTACGCCTGCCTCTTTGTAGGATTCGTGGAACAGTCCCTCTTCAGCAACTACACCGACACCATCCCTCACCTCTTTCTCCGCTACATTGATTACTGCTGTATCGGTGCTGCCTTGTGCTCCTGCAAGAGGCTCAAACAGTTCAATGACTTCGCCAACACCTTCCATGAGCGCCCTCAAATTCACCTGGACCATTTCTGACACCTTCCTCCCCTTCCTGGACCTCTCTGTCTCCAATCCAGTAACTGACTGACCCCTGAAATCCATTTCAAACCCAGTGACTCCCACAATTACCTCGACTACACCTCCACTCACCCACTGTCCTGCAAAAATGCTATCCCACACTCCCAATTCCTCTGCCTCCGCTGCATCTACTCCCAGGATGAGGTGTTCTACTCTAGGAGCTCTCAGATATCCTCCTACTTTAGGGACTGTAGTTTCTCCTCTGTTATTAAGGATGCCCTCAACTGCATTTCCCCTATTTCCCATGCTTCTGCCCTCAAACCCTCTCCACCCAACAATGATAGAGCTCACTTAGTCCTCATGTACCACCCCACCAACCTCCAAATACAACGCATCATCCTCCGACATTTCTGCCACCTACAATCAGACCCCACCACCAAAAAGATATTTCCCTCCCCACCCCGTCCACTTTCTGCAGGGACCATTTACTCCGCGACTCCCTCATCAGCTCCACACTCCCCACCAACCCCCTCCACCAAGCCCGGTACCTTTCTCTGCAACCACAGGAGGAAATACACCTCCCCTCTCACCTCCATCCAAAGCCCTAAATAATCCTTCTAAGTCCAGCAGAGATTCACCCGCATTTCACCTAACCTCATCTACTGTTTCCTTCATTCCCGACGTGATCTCCTCTATATCGTACAGACCAAATGCAGACTTGGGAACCACTTCACAGAGCATCTGCGCTCTGCAGGTACCAACCAACCTGACCTTCCAGTTGCAATCCACCTGAACTCCCCCTCCCACTCCCCCGGTGACATGTCCATCCTTGGCCTCCTCTGCTGTTAAGTGTGAGGCCAAACGTAAACTGAAGGAACACCTCATATTTTGCCTCAGGAGCTTACAGCCCATTGGTCTGAATATTGACTTCACCAGCTTCAAAATCTCTCCACCTCCAACCTGTCCATCTTCCAACTCACCTATCCATTCCACCCTTCCCACTGACCAACCACAATAACCCCCTACCTGCATTAATCTATCTCCATCCTACCAACCTCCCCTCAGCCCCACCCACTCCCTCTATTTATTTCTGGGCTCCCCTACCCCCCCAAAGCATTTCAGCCTGAAACATTGACTTCCCTGTTCATCTGATGCTGCGTGACCCGCTGTGCTTTCTCAGCTTCACATTTATTTTTCTTCTCTTCAGGAAATGTTCAATTTCCCAGAACACTAACAGTCCCTTGATGCTGCATTGCGTTCGTCTCAGAATTGAAATGGCTCCTGAATCACTGAGTCCTTGGATGTTTTGAGTGCTTCACATGTTTGACTTAATCACAGTAGAATTCGCATTTCAAATGTTGGCCTGCTGATCCCCCCACTAGAGTGTTTGGGGTGCAAAGTGTAAGAACTGCTGTGAGGAAGCTTTGGTGATTTGATGAGCATTTTGTGACACTTCAGACAGGATCTGATGGAAACGCAACCTGGTGATCAAAAGAGTCCTCAGCACCTCAATTTTCTTGTGCTGGTTGGTGAGCAGCTGCTCTCAGGCTAACCACCCATGCTTTGAGTTTCTGGTTCCAATCATCCTCTGCCATGCCTGCCCAGGAATCTATACAGCCACCTAGGTTTATCTATGTCTAACCTGGTGGGATATAGGATGCAGCTTTGCCCTTAAGCTCCCACTTCTTGCTATGGTTGTAAAGGAAGATCTATTCTTATGGGTGACGAGGAAGCCTTTTATCTTTGTGGTATTAGTAGGTAGGCATATGCTACAATGATTGGACAAGCTTAATGTTCAATTCCAAACCAGCGTGCCAGACACTATACTGTCCATGAAGGTTACAGAGAAACAGCTGTAGACAGTCTGCAGAGCGATATAGGCAGTTAAAATGAGTGGAATAAAGCTTGGCAGATGGAACATGATGTGGGAAAATGTGAGGTTTTGCACTTTGGCAGGAAGAACACAGAAGCTGAATAGGATGTAAATGGAAAAAGACTGCAGAAAGGTGTAGCACAGAGGATTTGGGAGCGCTTCTGTATGAATTACAAAAAGCAAGCATTCAAGTTCAGCAGTTAATGAGGAAGGCAAATGGAATGTTGGCCATTATTTCAAAGGAAATGGAGCATAAAAATAGGGAGGATTTGCTACAATTATACAAGGCACTCATTAGACCACACCTAGAATACTATGAACAGTTTCGGTCCCCTCAGAAAGGAAGTAATTTACTGTCACTGAAGACAGTCCAAAGAAGGTTCACTTGGTTCATCCCAGATATAAAGGGATTTCCTATGAGGAGAGGTTGAGTAGTTAGACATAGACTCATTGGAATTTACAAGAATGAGAGGTGTCCTTATTGAAACAAGACTCTTAAGAGACTTCACATGTTAAATGCAGAAATGTTTTTTGAGTCGAGGACTACAGAGTTTAATTTCAGGGTGTTAAACTGTTATTAAACTAGAAAGGGTGCAAAAAAGATTTTACAAGCATGTTACCAAGACTGGAGGGTTTGACTTAAGAAGAGGCTGGGACTTTTTTTCCTGGAGCATAAGAGGCTGATGGGAGTGACCTTATAGTGGCTTGTAAGGTCGTGAGAGGCAAAGATAAGGTCTTTTCCCCCGGGGAGGGGAATCCAAAACTAGAGGGCATAGTTTTAAGGTTGAGAGAGGAAAGATTTACAAGGGATCTGAGGGGCAACTTTTCCACAGAGGGTGGTGCACATAAGGAATGAGCTGCCAGAAGAAGTGGTAGAGATCGAGTATAGTTACAACATTTAAAAGACATTGGACAGGTACATGGATAAGAAAGGTTTAGAAGGAAATGAGCCAAATGCAGGCAAATGGGACTAGTTCAGTTTAGAAAACCTGGTTGGCATAGACGAGTTGGACTGAAGGGGTTATTTCTGTGCTGAATGACTCCATGACTAGTAAGGGATTGCCCACTTAAGTCAAAGATAATTAGGAATTTATTCTCAGAGGGTAGTGAATCTATGAAATTTCTTTCAAAGAAAACAAAATACAATAAATGCTGGAAATTGGAAATAAGAAGAGAGAGTGGCTGAGAAACCCAACATGTCTTGCAACATCCATGGAGAGACAAACAGAGTTAATGTTTCCAGTCCAAAGGCCCTATTCCAAAGAAGTGTCTTTGGTGTTGAAACATGAACTTTGTTTCTCTCTTCACAGATGCAGCCAGACCAGCTGCGTTTCTCCAGTAACTTATTTTCATTTCTGTAGAATTCTTTAGCGCAGAGGGCTGTTAAGGCAGGATCACGAACATCATTCAAGGCAGAGAGACAGATTTTCAATCTGTAAGGGAATCAAGGGGTATGGGGAAAAGGAAAGTAAGTGAAATTGAGGATTGCCAGATTAGACATAATCTATTTGGATGGTACAGCAGCCTCGATGAGCCTTCAAATAGCCTACTTCTGCATCTTTGTCTTATGATTTATGGACAAGAAAACCTCTCATTACTTCTACATATATACATGACCACTTTAAAAATAGCAACAATATCATCTGACCGGCGGTCAATGAGAGGAATTGTTAATTTATTGTGATTTGAAAATAACATACCAAATAGAAGTTAAATTGACAATTTGTCATCAAAGCCTACAATTTTTTTTAAAAAAAACTGTAGCAGGCTTAAGGACATGGATAACTGGTGCAACATTACAGGAAACAGAAATGCAGAGTTGGAAATAGTTTAGAAATTAGGCTTTCACTTGTAATGTGAGTTTTTCTAACACTGTTATGTTCAAACTGACACAAAGATTTCTTTAAAATTATAGCCTTTGGTGTCAAAACCTTTTAAAATGATCATTACTCTCTTTACTTGCTCAAGTTTAGACAATGTTACCAGAATAGCATGTTAAAATTTATTTCCTTGTTCCAACAAATAATAGTGTATAATTTATAAGCTTTGCATAGACAATCCAAATTAATTAGGGAATAGAATACAATTTTGTCACCTAGATATGACTTAATATTGATACATCTATACTTAAAAAAGATATAAATCAACACAGGCTATGAAATTGGCAAAAAATTAAATTTCACGGAGATTGTATTAGTTATCCATCATAAGCTTAACACCTCACAAACAAGGTAAATTGGATAATGCTTTGTCGTCCCCTCAGGAGTATTTATTAATTGTACATAGTATCTGGTCATAACATAATGACCAGAAAAGAATATTTTAAGAATTAATAAAAACACGAATGAATGAAACTAAATGAAAATGCACTGAGATGCCATTTTAATGGAAAAAAATCCTTACTCCAGTGTTATTTCGCCGTATTATACAATGTCACATCAAACAAACCTTCTTGGACACCTGGCAATTAAACAGTATGTCAATGAAGGAGTTAACCTTTTAAACATTAAAATAAATGTTTTTAGCTTTTTTTAAAAAATAAATTTTAGATATTGACAAAACTTAAAACAAAATAAGCAAACTGTCAAATTTTTTAAATCCTTACTTCAACTGATCAGCTGCTTGTTCCCAGAAATCATCCACTTACTTTTAAAAGCAGGACTTGTACTTCACAAAGTTAACAAAAAACACACGAGTTCTATGAAAATTCTCCACAGTGACAAATGCTGGTGCATAGTGCAACATTTCAATACAGTATGCTATGCAAGAAAAGGTGAACGATACAATTGTTGACATTCCCTATAATTGTAAATGTATTCAATGCTTGCATCTTCTAAGGTCATTGTCTAGTTTTAGAAATGAATGGTTAATCTCCAAGTATTATTCTTTTAGTGAAAATTTACTTTTGTATACCTGGGTTCAAAAGCAGTGTATTTAAGAATATCTCATGATTACCTTATCCCCCTCATCAAGTGCAATACAGAAGGATTTACCACCATGTGAATTTATGAAATATATAAACTGCAAGTTTACTGTAAAATAATTGTATTATAAATTAAATCAATTTGTCCAAAAATCCTGCATTTGTTAGAATATGGACAAATGGATGGAAGACCTTTCTGCAATTCTGGCTTATGATAGCCTGTGGCTTAATCAAAGAATGCATCTCTCATCCTTTATGTGAAACATTGTCAATCTGTCAGTCAATTCAAACTCCACTTCCGCCAATGACACCTGGGAAAAGCAATTTATAAGAACTTAGTACAGGATGAATTAAAAACTAATTATGGATGCTATACCACTCTAAATATGATCAATTAAAGGTGATTACATATAAATCAAACTAGTTCAGAAATTTCTTTGACGTTTTCCTCAGCTATGTGCCAAATCCAAACAGGAATGGGTTTTAAAAAAAAACAACAGAGATAAAATGGTTCAAATGGAACATTTGTTGCCATCCTTGGCTCAAGACTTGAGCACAGAATCGTCCCTGATGTATATCAGTACACTGCTGACTGCTGTCAGGGATGCCATCTTTTAGTTAAGTTGTTAAACCAAAGCCCATCTGATCTCTCAAATTGTGTAAGAAACCACTGCTTTAAGCGTGGAGAAGCAGTGAGTTATCTGCATGCAATACTTTTTCCCCTAGCTAACTAATTCGGGAAAAAAAAATCATTTATCTCGTGGTTTGTGGCATATCACAATGTACAATGGACTGGCACGTTTCCCCAAATTACAACAGTTTTTGGACTTGAAAACCATTTCACTGGTCACTCAGTACTTTTGGACATCAAGATCATAAGTTCTTTCCTTCCTAAATATTAGTTTCCAGGCCTTCTCCTTCTGTACTCAACATCCACAGATAGATAGACAATAGTAGGTTTTGTCCATTGCATTTTCTCTGTGCGTGGATTATTTCTGTAAGTCAATTAAACATGTTGCAATACAGTACAATTAAATTGATACCAACAGCCTTTTTGGTACATCATTTGTGTTGCCTTTTTGTTATGCAGAAACAGACTACACAAGAGCTAGTGTTATCACCACTAAGTTCAGTCTAATCAATAGATGCGTTTTTCCAGAAACACCTGGATAATTTTCCCCTTCTCAAAGAGAATCAGAGGGAAGATTTCAGCAGCACACACCAAGAACTGAGATCTTCATGGATAGCTCAGCAGCACATAGCTCGATATATTTATTCCATAGTGCAACATGGACCCATACCATCTCTTTTTAAACAAACAGAGCAGCTCACAGGATAAATGCTCCAAACTGGGAAAAATCCACGAACATGCCCAATGAGCTCATTCTGACGATATCATCTTTTCTAAAAAGTTACTCATACAACTATATATAAGGAGCAATCCAGTTTACATTATTCTTCTGACAGGAATCATTGTGTGCAAATGTTTAAGTTACATTACAATTGAAAGAACTGTTAGAATATTTACCTACAGCAATTCCAAGTAATGGACCATTGACATTTTAAAATAACAATATAACACTACTGGTTGGATTTTGAAATAAATCTAACAAGCAGCCAAGTTATTAGTGCAGTCTTGCCAACATTGAAAGATCAAATCAATAAAATAATTTTACCTACGTTTTGTTTAAACTTTTGAACAAATCATCCAGAATTGATCCAGTTATCAAGGTTTTCAACTTTTTGCCATTTTAAACCAAGGTATGTAGTTCCTTTAAAACTTCTTTTTTAATTATCAGGAGCACAGCATTTTGTTTTGCTGTGTACAACTATATACTTCAAAAACTGTTAAGTAATATTTCTGTTCTTGGAAGGCACTAAATGGGGGACTGTCACTCATGCCTTGCTCATTACATTATTCCTTTGTCACTTTAAAATGAGCACCAATTGGATCGTTCACCGGTATCAAGATGTCAGGTGTCAGTATATTTAAAAGGAAGACTTTTTTTTTTAAACGGAGAAACAAGTGAGCAGCAAATACAGACCTACATTCATTGGAAGGGAATAACATTGCAAAGTGGTGCCTTCCCAAAGAATAAATTAAGAACACTCTGTCAATACTTCACACTAATAAAAACCAACACATTCCTAATATTAACAGAAAAAGACAGTAGTGATAATTATTTTTACAAACCCAAAACAATCCAGGGCCATTACCAGATGTGCAACACTTCTGCACTGGAGTCAACTCACTAAGACAACAAGTGAAGACAATAAATCCCTTTGTGATCACTTGCATTACAAGTCTTCGAAAAGAGAATGGTAGAAGTTCATAGTAAAATTTCCAGAATCTCAAGACAACGCTTAGTATCACAGTATTTAGTTTTCCATGGACTTCAGCATATTTATCCAATTGCTGAACTGAAGGAAATGGTCATATCCAAGCCTTGGGTAATGGTTAAAGTTCACAAGACATCCAGTGTGTTCCCATGTCACATTTTTGGCTTTAAATTTTTAAGCTGCAGTGCAATAGATTTCCAGTAGATGTCTCACTGGAAACACAGGGCATCAAAACCACAAAACTGCAGATTGTTAATTGCTGAAGCATCAAGTGCAGCCACAGTTTTTTTGGCCAATTTGCATCTCTCCCAAGTCTTTTTCTCACCTTCAAATGAGAAATCAGATTCTGTTAATCTCACACAAGATGAACAGTTTAAGCATTAAAATGCTGAACCGACTCATTTTGCAGATACGGATGACACACTGCATGCAACACTGCAGTCACTATTGCTTCAGATCAATCTTCATTTTACTGAGCAGAGATAATACTGGGAGACAGCTTCTATCCTAGCTCTATAGCTTCTACAAGTCAGGTGGCTACATTCCGCTTATAGGATTTCTTCCCTTTGTTTCTTAGTTTTTTGAACTACTTGGCCATTGTGGATTGATCCATTCTGGTTTCGCAGTAATTTCCCTTTCTCTCTGTCTGGCCAGGTGAAGATTGCTTCATCACTGTCAAGTTCAGATTCTGAAACCATTAAGCTGGTGTTCTGTGCTGGAGCTTTCAGCCTGCCAACTATAATGAAACATTTATCAGCAATACCGCAAAACAGAGAGGGAAAATAATTACCTTGAAAAAAAAACCTTATTTGGTATTCTTGCTGGTGAAACTGCCATTAGTTTGATAATGCTGCCTACTTGAGAAAACAAAATTGAAATTTAGAAATTCAAGCCATGTAGCTACAACACCAAGGTTTTAACCATGAACATAGTCAGCATCAGTTGCATATTCCTTATTACCATTAGCATAACTCCATTTCACATATGCACATGTGGTTCAGTGACGGTGTTTTTTAAAAAAATCGTCATTGTTTGGCTGATCAGCTGAAGTAGGATTGTGCAACAGTAAATGTAAATATATCAACAAAGTGAACATTAAACTTTGGACTCCAAAAAATGAGTCAAAATAAAATATAACAGCACCATCTTTAAGTTACAGAGCAGAATTTTAAGGTCCTTAACTCTGAACAAGTTAGTGTGTTGATAAAATGCTTTAATTTTTGTCAAATAAATTACAGTAACAACCGAAATAAATAACACCACAAAGTATTTTACATCGTACCAAACCCAAATTCTTGTATTATGACTAAAATGAAAAACAAATTAAAGTGAAACAATTATGCTTTTTTTTGCCTATCATACATGTTAAGTTGATTTGCAGAAATTGCTCCACTTGTTTTTATATAGTGTTATAACAGAGACTATTCAAAAAAGATGCCATACAATTTAATTCAAAAAGCAAGATCCTAGGCTTAAATCCATTTTATTTTGCATTGACAGATGCAGGTGTTAAATGGGCTGGTTCACAGCTCTGATGGGATTTGACCAAGTTTAGATCAGGCCTTTGTGGCCCACAGAGACTACAGAAATATTTTCTCACCTCAAATATCAATGGGATAAATTAAGGAACCAGAGATACCCGTAAAATGCCTCTTTGTTTATCCATAAAAGGCCTTTGTAATTAAGGCCAGGTACAAGGGTCTTCTGAAGGCTCCAAGGTATCATTTTCATTCCCTACCACAAACCCTGCATCTTCACCAATTTCATTTCCTGCCTTGACTAATTCTTCAGGCTGACCTAGTCCTATTTGTTTTCCAAGTTTAGTGGAAGTCTAGTTTCTACAACTGTAGACACCTCACTACTAAACTTTCACATCTAGAACAATGTCTGTCTTTATGCTGTTTCAATCCAGTGCTGAATCCCTAATGTATGCCTCAGTCATACCTAGACTTCAAGATCTAAAACTTTCAGGGTCTCCATCTTCCATAAACTTGAACTCATCCAAAATACAATTGACTGTACAGTATTCCACACCATATACCATTCGCACACCATCTGTGTGCTCTCTGACCTACACTGGCTCCCAGTTCCCTAAAACTCAAAATTTAAAATTCTCATCTAAACAATGCATCTAAATCTCAGTACAACAAATCTCACTTCCACATTTCTGTAATGCTCCCCTCATCCAACCACCACAGAAATGTGACAGCACAGAAAGAGGCTATTTGGCCTATTGCGGCTATACCAGCTGAATGAATCATGAACCTTCTGAGAATTCTGTATTCCTCCAGAACAGCATTTGGTTCTTCTTCCACATCAGTACCGTTGGCAGTGCCTCAAGTGTTTCAGCACCAAGCTCTGAAAGAAGCATAGTAAACTCTGGCTATCTTCTCTTAAGATTCTAAAAGTCCAATTTCTTCACAATACTATTAATTACTGTCCTAATGTCTGCTAACTTGGCTTGGCATCAATTTTTGTTTAAGTTTCTGTGAAGCACCTTGGGATGTTTCCCTATGCTAAAACTATATAAAAAACATCTTAATTATTGTTAGTAGTTTAGCACCTCCAGTGAGAGTTGAAGGTTATAGTTTTGTTTCAATGGGATCTTGGGTGGAGTGGTCAGGTACTGCTATGTTGCAGAACAGTGAACTGGCTGCAGCTCATGCATCTCGAGAACGCCAGATACATACACCAAATACATCCTTGTGATTTGGGTAAGGGCAAGAAAGAATGTTCAGACCTGTGTCTTAGTTCAAGTTCTCACGAAAGACTTTCAACCTGAAACGGTGTTTATGCCTCTCCACAGATTCTTTTTTTCTTTCATTATTCATTCATTCACAGGATGAGGGCATCGCTGGCTATGTAACATTTATTGCCCATCCCTAGTTAAGGGTCAACCACATTTCTGTGGGTCTGGAGTTACATTTAGAGCAGACCAGGTAAGGATGGCAGTTTCCTTCCCTAAAGGACATTAGTGAATCAGATGGGTTTTTCCAACAATTAACAGTGGATTCATGGTCATCATTAGATTCTTAATTCAAGGTATTTATTGAATTCAAATTCCACCATGGCTGGATTCAAACCCGGGTCCCCAGAATGTTATCTGGGTCTCTGGATTAACAGTTCAGTGATAATACCACTAGGCCATCAGCTCCCCATTCTGCCAGAGCTGTTTAGCATTTCCAGCAGTTTGTGTGTCAAGTTCAGGTTTCTAGCTTCTGTTTCTAAATTTTAAGCTGCCTTGTCCCAACTGAAGATCAAGCATTCATGTTGCAAAGATCTCCAAATACAAGTTGCATTCTCCACCGGTGTGCAGATTGCTGTGCACCATTTTGATGAAGGCAACTCTGACCAACTGTAACACTTAACACACTGTAAAACCCTGAAATTCAAAAGTTTTGATGCTGCCATTCCAGATGGGGATAACTGTGCATAATGCACAAGCACATCTATGCTGGTATGGACTTGTGCAGAGTAAATCTCCCTTTATTCTATCCTAAATCTCATTCTAATTTCAGAAGAGCACCTCTGTATGGCAACACTCCTACTTTTAATGTTATCTGTCATTTAGACACTGAGGAAGGCAATTTAAGCTGTAAAAGGTATTTACATTAAGAATTTGATACACATATTTAAGCCAAGTATCATGGCATTTTTGCAATTAGCACAGAAAGGATTGAGCGGTTACTGATAGAGGTGAAAAGGTGGTGAGCACACAATGTCTACTTCTCCAAAACGACAGTGAATCTCCACTCCAATAAGTCCAGATTGCAACAGTGCAGATGGGAGAACACCAGACTCATGGTGCTCAGAATTTTCTTCTGCAACAGAAATGGGTCAGCTCCACCAAGACCTGGCTCAAATACATAATTTCTGAGATCAGATGGGGCGCAGTGGTCATTAAAAAATAGCATGTCAAAATATTCATGCCAAAACCAATTTATCTTTGGAATTTCTACAACTTTGCAAGAGTTAAATGCTTCTTGCCTGTAAACACTGGAATTGCAACATGCTGTATCATTCGGTGACTGGAGTAAAGATCTTGGCAGTGTCTCTTTGAGAGGTGGATTCATGCTATAGAATTGTTCTGGTACAATATTAAGTGTAGGAAGGCATCCAGCTATTGTCATGAAGACTGCTAGGTGACGTGGTGAGATTCAAGGAGTAAAAGAAAAAAGTCGATCAACCCTCAAAAGTCACAGCTTCAACGTTTCTTTCGCATCCCAATACCTGGCTTGGAGTTAGACTTCAATTCCAGACTTTCATGATCATCTGTAGCATCTAATATTTTATATCTGCTCTTCCTTCTAGGTTTTCCTTTGCGTCTGAAACATCAATTCACAATGTTTAGAAGATTATGTAAATTGAGTTGGACTAAATTACAGCTATATTACAGAAGAACCAGGATTGACATTATAAGGCATAACTAAGGGTGATAAATCTTCCTTACTTCACTCAAAAAACTTGATATTTCAGATTTAGCTTTTATTAAGCAACGCTCTACTCCACCCCCTCACCACCTATTTGTGTTCTGCAAAACCTAATATTTCAAATAAATACATTCTAAGCTGAAAGCAGTAAAATGGCAAACATTTGACAAAAGCTGATACAGGGATAAAAAGAAAACTTAAAGGAAAAAAGAGTGTTAGAAAAGACACACTACAGCCAACGTTTGTACAGGGATTTAAAACATTATCTGATCAGTCACACTGCAGTCTTTAGGACCTGTGGTGCACAAATTGGCAACTGTACTTCCATCATAACAAGGTGCAGTGATTATATTTTGAAAGTACTTATTAATTGAGAAGTGTCTTGGAATTTCACAAAAGGGGCTGTGAAAATGCAAGTCTGTTCTTTGAGCTGTAAATAAAAATATTTTTTGATTTGTTAGGTGGGGGAAAAGAGGAAAAAAAATAATCACACTATCCATCATCCATTTGGATAAGCATAAACATACAAGGGAACAAAAGATATTGGGAAGAACTGCCTTAAATGTCACTGAGCATACACTGGTAGTGGCTCGTAGCTATGCACAAAAAGTAATTCAACTAGAAATATCCCTAGAGGGATTAAAAAAATGCCTATGGGTGCTCCTGTCTAGCTGTACTGGTCTAGACGCATGTCCCCACATGAGTAAAACAAGTTGACACTGCTGGAGGGATAAATACTGGCCAGGATACCAGCAATAGCTTCCTTTGTTGAGAAACAAGAAAAAGCATCCGCAAGTTATTACAGAAATCAAATGATTGGATTCAACTTTATGAACAGAATTCATTTGTTATATTATTTTAGTTAAAGAGAGGAAAGGGGAATACCATTTACTTTCAATTACTGAATATGAACTATGGCTTGCAAATCCCATGTTGGTTAAGATTAATTGATGGATAACAACCATACCAAAGTTTAAAAAGAAACACTCATGGTGCAGTACTTTTTATATGATCAGAAAGAGATAGCAATCACCTTCCATCCTTGATCTGTATATTGAGACCATTACTGAAGCTTCCCTGAATTCTCCATTCAATAATTTGTCTTTAGTTTCCCTTTCCAATGTTGTTATTGTGGTTGCACAAATGTAAAACCCCACATGATTGGATAGTGATAATATATGATGCAATGTCTCAATGTAACAATCTGATTGAAGGGATCTTTAGAATCACCCAATCAGCTGTTTGCAACATTTTCCAAAACTAAATGCTCCTCTTATTGATGGGTTCATGAGGATCATGGGTCAAGATTTGTGTAACTGTATTCTTCCATCTTGCCTTAGGTTATAATGCCACCTTCACTTAGCCAGTCTCATATTACTGCCATTTGTCATATGCAAACAAAGTCGCATTTCCCTTCTACTTCAGCCCACAAGTACTTACACCACCTGAAATAGGTGGAAGGCAGCAGGAACTCATTGGCGTTGAGATGGCTTCAAGATGTTATGTTGTAGATGAAAAGTTGTTATTTGATAGTCCATGATACAACCAGAAACCATTACAGAAGACAACCAAGTCCACTTTAATCTAGAGCTGTTTGTGACTGACCAACCAGCTTGACTTATTACTGAAAGCACGTTGGTCCTACTTGGGCAAAAATCACTGTTAAAATTACTGAGTTTAACATCTTAAACAATTGCAGAACCCCTACATCCCTAAGCACAAGTTAGCACCAGGAAAGTCTCACCTCTCAAGGATTACAGCAATCAATTGTGTAATTAGGGTGGAGAAAAAATCATCGTTATTATTAGGCAAAAAGACTTAACTGGTGACATTTAAATATTGTAATAAATTTGTGTCATACATCAGACAACTCCTCCCGATGTGATCTAGCAGATTACTAGTCTCAGCCTTGATGTTCCCATTTTCATTGTAGGCTCTCTCATATACTGTGCCTCAAGTGACATTGAAGAAGTGAACGGGGCAAGTATATATTCCAATCTGGGCCAGCTTACTTATTAATGTACAGAACCATTCCTCGGGATCTAATGTGTTTAACCTGATCTGCAAAACTTGAACACCAAATCAAGTTGTACTCCATGTACCATCCAGACTGGCAGGCTAGATTAAATTCAGCTACTAATGTTTGAATACAAAGGAGTTGGAGCTATCCAACAACTAAACCTTGCAGTGAACAGCTGTAGTCTCTGCACAAACTGAAGAAACTGCGCAATACTGAAAATGGTGACACTCAATCTAGGTGGCAAAAGGAGGATGCTGCAATACCTAGGTAGTAAGTTCAGAATGGATCCTAATCTTGACATAATTTATAAGATTTTGTTTCTAAATATACATGCATACACAGCATACACCTCCAAACCTAATAATTAGTTTCAGTCATCTCCTACATAGAGAAGCATAAGTGAATCCCTAGTAATGCCTACCACCTAAACACTATGAAATATGGAATTAAAATAGAATCAACATGCAGCACTCTTTGCACAAATTGACAAGCACCAAAATTTTTCCCAAACCCTTAAGTAGGTAAATGATGGCCACTGGAACTAAGCGCTTTGGGAAAATACTGAGCTATTGTTTTTGACTTGATATAAACTTAATTCACCTGTAACTAATTCCAGCCACTCTCACCCAGCAAACTAGACAGCAGAAATTTGAATGGCCTACTCGTGACCCTGACAGAAACATGCCACCTTGGCATGAAAAGCTCACACAAATAAAAATGAGAGGTTAACTAGGTCCAGGTAATAAAACAATACTTTTTTTTCTGTAGAACATCAGGGAGTGGTTCATCTTGCCCTATTGTAAGAATAAATTTTCATAGAATAGATGAGTCATAGAATCCCTACAATGCGGAAGCAGGCCATTCAGCCTATCAAGTCCACACTGACCCTCAAAAGAGCATTCCAGCCAGACCCAACCCCAAACCTATCCTGTAACCCTGCATTTCCCATGGCCAATCCACCTAACCTGCACATCTTTGGACTGTGGGAGGAAACCGGAGCACCCGGAGGAAACCCACGCAGACGTGGAGAGAATGTGCAAACTCCACACAGACAGTTGCCCAAGGTTGGAATTGAACCCAGGTCTCTAGCGCTGTGAGGAAGCAGTGCTAAACACTGAGCCATTGTGCCACCTGTGTCTTCACAGACGAGCTTTGAAAGGTAATGGTAATGCTGTGGTAAAGAGGAAAGATTATGTGTTTTGAAATTGTGGGGAGGGGATTGGGGAGGGGGTGGGGGGAGAAGCTGAGAGGAAATACTGAGAAGACTAGAAAAAGATTGACTTGCACAAGATTCCTGATCTTTACCTTTTACAGAAGCAGAGGACCATCCAAACTAAAATTCCAATGGCAACCAATATGATAAATGCAGCTATGACAACGTAGAGCACGCTCCACTCTAAAAGTGAAAACAAAAAGCAACTGATGTAAATTCTTAAAAGGTTTATAATGGAAAATTATTTGGTTATTGCTGGCACACGCAAAAACTAGTTGACTCCATGGACTTCAATTTTAAACTCCTTTTCTTTTCCAAAAATAGTCTGTTAATATACAGAGCATTCAATTAATCAAAACTAACAATTTAGCTACAAGATATTTATAAGCTACTGCTGTATATGATTTACAAGTAAGTTCACATATTAGACTTGTTTTGGAACCAAGTTAACTTTAGGGATTCTTAACTGTTCTGTAAAATAGCGGAATGAATAATTTCCAATGACACCAGCTCATAATTTGTATATTTTGAATCACTGTTGGTTTGTTCAGCATTTGTACACTGATCGAAATCCCTTACTTTCCCTTTGCCAAAAGGCAGTTTTACTCTATACAAACAAAATCTCAGTAGACACAGAAGGGCCACAGAAAGAATGTTCACAATTAGTCTGAGAAGTGTACTGTATATACATTAGTGACAGAAAATAAAGCTGCTTCAACAGGATTCATTTCTAAATGATGTGCATTGCTCCCTTGTGAAGAAGAACACTCCTAACTTGTCCATCTACATGGTCGA